AAGTTATCGCACATTCAAGTTTTTCCAACCGCATAAATACGAAGATTGATCCATAATATTGAGATCATTTTCCATGCAGATATCAAATACAATAAATACGAGTTTGAATAACTGTAAGATAAATACGTTTTCGAAATTTCTCATGAGTTTGATGTCGGTAACCTTCGGACTCAGTACTACTAGTCGTTGCGTGTCATAATAGTTATTATGTTCATAAAGTGTAGCTTCCGAGCCGACAAGTTTCTCAATCGCACTTAATAAATGCTTATGGCCCCTTCCATAGCCTCAATGCAGCTGAGTACTGTAAATGAACCCTATATAAACATAAATAATGCAGATGTCGCTCATAAATATATCCAGCACTTATATCTTCGGTGGGAAAGTAGTAGAACCTAAAAGGATCTAAAAAGATCGAAGACTGTAAGAGCATAAGACGGAATACAATCGTCTGTTCCTTTTCTTTAAAGTACGTCCTAGCGTACTTTATGCGTTTGTTCCCGTTAATCTTGAGACCTCTGTTTCGATGACAGTCAAACCGCAATACGAGCAAAATTTCAGAATCTGTCAAGCTTGGCATACGACGCTGCGGTATACATAAGGATTAACATAAACACCGGGACCCACAATTCCACAGTTAAAACTGGCACGGACGGATTCCGTAGGCTCTTCATATGAGGTAAATTATAGATTCCGAGTACAATATATCCTAAATGAGTGCGCTTTAACACTTCACAAAACAATGTTCTATTGGAAATTGATGTAGTTGTTAATTCGGAAGGTAAGCAGGAAGCAATATACAATCACCGCATTTCCTAAACAGTTTGAAAAAAAAAAGAGAGTTAAATGCTTATAATGTAATATTTTATTAATAATAAGTCTTCATCAAGAAATGCTCCAATAACTTTAACCTTGGAAATATTAGAATGAAGAACTAGTATTATTTTTCAAAAATCGCCCCATATTCAGAGACGTCTATCTTAATGACCGAGAAAGATTTTTTAAAGATCTGGGTGGAAGACGGCGTCCCTTCCATTAGCCCCGGGGAAGTCATGACCTACCCTGTACCGAGTTGTATACCTAACAGGATCAGTACGTTCAACCGTATGCGCGTGGACTGAAAAAAATGTGTGTTGAATTTCTTTCCCACGTTTTACCAGCAGGGGAATCACCTCCTACACTTTTCTCTTTTCGGCTTCTGTTAGCACATATAAAATTCTAAAATGGAAAATTTTACCAATCACATTCCTCAGAACCATTTCAAAAGCTCCCTGGTTCGTGGGAAATTCCCAACAACAAAATGAACTGCACATCACTCCGATATACGTCCCCGTGTGCTCCTTTCTCCTCACAGATTCCATGAAGTACCGCTTACCAAATCGGCAAAACAAATTAAGCCAAACAAACATCTAAAGCAAAAACTGCTAAGATGGTTATTTGAACCAACGCATTCACCAGAAGCGGCTTCTCACATGGAATCTGGCAACCTAGGTGATCTTCAATGAAATGAAAAGTATTTAGTAAGTAACATAACGATGTATAGTATACGTCTGCTCAGTGTCTTCTGATCAACCAGATTTCTTGTTTAGTATTACTCCTCAAACTGTGGTCACTTCCGTCCAGGTTTGGCCGGCCGAGTGAACAGAACTGTTAAACATTTCGGCGTCTCCCTAATCTGGGAGGGAGCGTGTTGGTTTCCGGCAGTTCAAGGCAAACGAAGCAAACGCCATGCGACACCGCCAACAAAACATCGATATTTCGAACATTAAAACACCCATGCTTTTAATAAATAACGTGGAAACGATGTTTTTAATCACTAGCTCGAACATTAATGTTCACGCGAGGGGGAGCAGAGATTCACGATAAATACAATAAAACTGACAAAATCGGTCGAACAAGAACAATTAAATTGTTTTTTATTAGATAGAATAATAAAAAAAATACTGCATAGCAGAAAAACGAGACTCTCTACCATCAAGAATTTCCTCCTTTTCAGAACCTTAACTCTTGGACACTTATAGTAAGTGATAAGTAAATATGACTGATATATGTATAATGGGTTGGTTCTAAAATATGACTGATTGTGTAATGGTACTTTTTTTTCATTCAAAAATAAATCTTGGGTTGAGTCCGCAAACAGAGTCGAAAAAGAAAGCATAATTTTTTCAGCGTGTTCAAAAAAAAGAAATACACACCATCGACGTCGCCAGCAAATGGATGTTGAAAGACGTCGCCTGTCCGCCTGCGTACGCGTCTGCGGCGCTGGAGGCGCCCCAGTGTGGCGGCGCAGGGGCCGGTTAAGGCGAGGGTCGGCTCGCGGCGCGGTGCGGCGGGGCGGGCAGGCCGCGCCCCCGCCGCCCGGCGCGCAGAGTAACCCGGCGGCGCCACGCCGTGATTTACCGGCGCGGCCGCGCCGGCGGCCCCGGCGGCCGCGGCCGGCGGCGCCGTCGCCCGTATCTGAACCGCATCCGCCCGCCGCCGCCGCCGCCGCCGCAGACCAGCTCCGCACAGTGGTAGCGACTGCGCACAACCGCGGCTGAGGGCGGGGCGCTGCAGGCGATTGCTCTCGAAAGCTCGGAGATTTGAATAGTTATTAGGGAGTTTGTGCCACCTCAATCGTAACGCACTATCGATCTTCTGCTCATGCGCAGATGCACTAAAATGGAGAGAATTTTGAATATATTTCGGAGTTTGCACCAGCAGGAATGTTAATGCACTATTGATCTTATGCGCTTGCCGCCCACGTTTTGTACCACTTTAGTACATCTGCACATGCGCAGAGGATCGATACTGGTCACGCTGTGGCGTACACAAACTTCCCCTATTCATGCCTCAAACGAATTACAAGGGTTCTAATGGTTGAGCGGCTAAGAAAGTTCGAGCGCCTTGGGCCCGAGGGCTTTTTGTCGGCCGAAATCCCATGGAACAAAATTTATTTGATCTTTTTCCCTTAAAAAAACACCAACATCAACACTATATACGATATCGTATATTTCGTGACATTACGTAACTGATGTTTTTTAGAGCCTACATTTGAGTGTCAGTTAAAATTCTAAGTTGTTAACACACAAAATAATTATTTGGCTAAAGATTAACATTAACATATTGTAATTCTAATATTTATATAATAATGATTTATGTCGTATTAATCAAATACGTATTACTCTACTCCTTTTCTTTATTATTATATTAGTATTAACAATAATAATTACTACAATAAATTTACGAATACGCCAATCTGCGAGTGGGATTCTATTTTCCCCAAACATTGGTTTAAATTACAATTTTCTGACCATATCGCCCGCCATTTTGCGAACACCGACCACAGTGCGCTCGGCGCCTCGCGCTGATTCAGAGCTTCCTTCTGCGCGGCGCCCTGCGCGACCTCCCGCGCGCAGCTGCCGATGAAAAGTTCACCTCCGCAATTTGAGCGCGCGCAGAGCAGATCGCAGCGGCGCTGCCGTCAGCCTCCGTCCAAAACCTTTACCCGCTCGATGGGGGGCCTCCACGCGCAAAGGTTTGGAGAGCGTAAATGTTACGGCGCGCTCCGATCGTAACCCTCCAGAACACGCGCCACCGAAAGAAAGAAAAGGAAAAGAAAGAAGGAAAAGAAAGAAGAAAAAGAAAGAAGAAAAAGAAAGAAGAAAAAGAAAGAAGAAAAAGAAAGAAGGAAAAGAAAGAAGAAAAAGAAAGAAGAAAAAGAAAGAAGAAAGAAGAAAGAAGAAAGAAGAAAAAGAAAAAGAAAAAGAAAAAGAAAAAGAAAAAGAAAAAGAAAAAGAAAAAGAAAAAGAAAAGAAAAAGAAAAGAAAAAGAAGTAAAGAAAGAAAGAAAGAAGAGAAGATGCTCTGCAAATTATGTTATTCGTGAGTACGAATCAACTATTCTTTCTGATCGCATTAGCTATTTAGGGCACGATTCCCGTAATTGTATTGCACGTTCTTTTTTGGGAGGTGGCGCAGTTTCTCCCTTTCTGGAACATGAGTATTGTGGCCGATCCACTTGTCAGTGTACAAGGATTTCTTCCTCCTCCTAACTCCCCAGCGGTGCACATCCCAAACTGGGATAAGCTTCCGCAAATGTAAGTGTGCGAGTAAGAAGGGAATATCGCGCCCGGTCCGTAGAACGTTTTTCCCTCGCATTCGTCAGGTATTCATGTCCACGGAAATGTACTGATCAGAACAGCTGGTCACAAGAATTTTCCTTCATGCAAGAGGATGAATTCGACCCGGCTTTGTAACTAGTACAAAATATATCACCTTTTGGACGTGAACCCTAGGACCTCCCGGTCAACTTCGCTGCATGAGTAATGGTGTTCTGATCAACAAATGGACTGTATTGGGGTATTGTCATTCATGATTCTGACTACCTTCATATTTCATTCTTCCAAGTTCGAATTGTAACAGTTGAAACAATATCAATTTAATTAATAATTTCCCAGATGAATAGGTTTTGTAGTACGTACTCTTCTTCCGTTTATAGGTAGAAGGCGTGATTCATATTGAACCACTATTTTCATACAGCAAAGTACTGTTTAGTCAACAATCCTGGTGCAAATGAGCTTCTAAAATTCTAGTACGTAAAGATGAAAAAACATTAAATTTCAAATCCTTTGCTTATGAATATTTTTTCTTTATCGTGTTCCTTCTACCTTTTTAATGTGGAGGGATTAAATATTTATAGAAATTTAAAATATTAAAATATGGATTATCGGCAATCATTTCATGCACCTCAAAGTCATTTTTGTTATTCCATGCTACTTATGTTTTGGATGTTTGTGAGATTATGACTAAGACGTCGATCTACAATTGCCCGTTCACACTTCTTTTCTCTCACTGTTCTCTCTTCAGAAATAAAACGTATTGTAATATGGGCAGTTTTTCGAAGATAATTATACCTGTGATGAACATCTAAAATGGGCACGGAGGTAGCCTCATACCCGTCTACATCTCCACTTACTTAACCATCCATATTCACCAGAAAAAGTAAGAATCGATTTTACTTACCTAATTGCGTCTCTCCAGGTTCCGTGATGTCCCGAGGCAGCATGTCCTAGGCATAGAAAAGGATCCTATTAGTTGCGCTGAATTACTCAACTAATATTACGATTACTGAAATTCATTTGTTTCTCCTAAACACGTCAAAACTGTACTGAGTGAGAGAACAATCCCCATACTCAATTTCCTTAGTTTCTCTAGTTACGGTTTACGTACTAAGTTTCTTAGGACGTATTCAGACGTTTTCTGCTGCTCATCCTTTCTGCTGCTCTTCCATTCGCCCGATTATTGTATCTCTATGGTGACTATTTTATTAGACTTTATCTATATTCTGAACCATGATACAGACTGCATTCAAACACGATCTCAAGATGCGATATTTTTTTTAATTTCCAAAAAATCGTAAACCTTTCAGTTAGAAAGTAAGTCGTTCCGGAATGATGTAAAATAGAAGCAGCCAGACCGCCTGTGAGTAATTTTCATAAATCTTCAAATGTAATAGTTTCTTAGAAGGGAAGGTCGAATGACCTTACTTTCTCATCAGCAAACAACGCAATTACTTGCCCTCTTCAATCTAATCTAACCATTAGCTCGCCTTCTTTGTCTTTAGGATCATGCCCACCTCCTAATAGCTCGTACTCGCATGGGTTTTAATACTTATCCTCCCTACTCCATCTAGTATTTCCGAAATACCGCATTTTGAATATATCACGTAATCACTAATTATCGCGAGCAATATTAACAATCGTAGAAAGTAGTCTCGCAAGTTCCGGCTGATGGAGATTGCCATCACTAATCTAGTTTATATCACAGCAATTTACGTCCAATAATAAGGTAATTGGGAGCGTATTTAATGCTAATTAACAGCCGAAAGATCACTGGGGTACATTACTATACCAGTTAATACTCTTGTCATCGCATTTATGAAACTCGTACACATTATATTTTTACGTCCTATTAACGTGCAGATATCATCGAGTCGCAAACGACGCGTGCAACGATTCTGAAACATCAGAAGCGTGATAAATTCTTAGAATAACTATATTTGCTACACATAGACACACGTTGGCTGAGAAATTAACACATTTAATGGATTTAATTTTCGCACAACTTTCTAAATCACAGGTACTAGGAGAGAAATAATTTCTTAATATTAATTTATTATTATTATTATTATTATTATTATTATTATTATTATTATTATTATTATTATTATTATTGACAAGATTTTGCTTGAGATTTGGCCAATTTTTTATTTTTTTCTCCGACAGCGTTTAACGGTTAATTTAATCCCGTGAAATGTACTACACTAGGCACGTGGCTAATTTTTCTTATATCAGTTATTATTTCCAGAATAAATATTCAATATTTTATCAGGGTATTCAAAGTATGCTTCTGAATAGAATATTACCTTATTATTAATGCCGTGAGAATGAACGTACTGAACGTGAGCTCGAATTAAGCCTGATTAAGCCTGATGTCAATATTCAAAATGTATTATTTATGTACTTCTTCTGAAGAAAATAATAAATAAGTATAATATTGTATACAAAGCAGCAATTCATCTTAAAACTTCACAAAAAAAGGACTCTTTGTTTTTCATTAGTGTATCTATGTGAAATTGAGGGGTAAGTAAGATTTTTTAAAGCTTTTATAACACAAAGCTTTAGAAATATTTATAAGGGTATTCTCAATTCGAACATTAGTTTAGCGCATGATCAAGTTAAGGCTAAATCACTGCTGCCACTCGTCAGAGAGATAAATACTCCTTAAATAATTTCGAAATAATGAATTTCGAAGCATTACAATGCTAATCCGACAACTGATATACAATTATGCACCTGCCGATGATAGAAAGATCAGGGAAAACATTTAGATTGTCTGCAATGTAGTTAGATCACAATTCCCGAGCTATCCCACAGAAACTTTTGCAAGTAGGAGAACAAAACAGAAAATGATTTTGGTGTATTACGATACTGACACGTAAGGTCATTGAATAATTAATTATATTTAACCCAATAGAGGAATACATTTCTAGAAAAATCAGTGGTGTGCCAATTGTTCTGAATTTTATTGTATTTTATTCACCAGCATCTAATTCAACATATGGGTACTTTACTCTTGTTCTTTCGTGTATCGTTATTAAAAAATGGTATTAAAACATGCATTGTTATTAAAGTAAAATATATAAACAGGCAGACAGACGTGGCCCCTACGGTGGATCCTAGACCAATACCCTGGTCTATCGTCATTCGTGGCGTACCCACACCCCGACTCTCCACACCTCGGTCTCCATCCCGTTGCAGAAGCGAATGGCTTGTGCCCGCGGAGATATTAAGCATTCTCTTGGAACCTCCAACGAGCTTCAGCGAACCTTTCCATTCCGGACAATACAGCTGAATCACGTGATTCACCGTTTGTTCCTGGTTCCGCAACCCCTCTGTTAGCCCTTTACTGACATCCATTTAATAACAGGCCATCACTACAACTGTGGGATTGCAGGCTAGCCCCAAATGCTCGTTGCTTACTGCTTCATGGATTGCTCAGCATGCCTACTCTTACCAGCGCGTTGGATAAGACGCTACAATAATTAGGGAAGCTCGAATATCCGAATTTGAAATCTGAATAAGTCATTAAACGCCCTGCGTGCACTGAAGTTAGTCACTGTTCTGCTTTCCAATAAGGCACTCATACGTTCTGAACTCGCGTGACGATTACAGACTTCAGTGAGGTTTAGCGCTTATCCTTCCTCAAAATTAAAAACCCAAATAAATTTCGTCTATATTTTGCAATATATTTAGAGAACCTTTCAGGATTTATAAACAGGTACACAGATTTAAAGACGAACGATGCATCTTCGACATCTCTCGACCCGATTAATCGAAAACTCCAGCACGTCTTTGCCGTTTGAATTTCCTTCTTCCAGACCCGCCTCCATCAGACAGAGGTCCTTGGTCTCGTTCCGCGGCGAAAAACGGGCTAATGCGATTCGGCTGGGTGAGGGCGCCCCCATGAACGATTCCTTCCCCTGCCCGCCCTCCCCGCGCCGCCCGCCCACCGCATCACTCGCCTCGCCGCTCTGGCATCCGGGCTGTCAGGTGCGTAGTGGCACGTGCGGGTGAGTGGGTGGGTAGGTAGGCGCGCAGGTGGTGGTGGGGGGGCAGGCTGGCGGCGTGGGAGGAGAGGGGGCGCACACGGCTGAGTCGTGACTTCACCACGCAGCGATTCCGCTCTTCAACACTTTCGGTTTTTCTACGAAACGAGGTTCAAATATGACGTACACCCAGAAAGAGAGTCTCTTTAGATAGTGAAGAAAATCCAATTTCATGGGAAAAAGTTATTATAACAGATATAACTCATGTTGCAATATTTTTTTACATCATCACCACCATCAGAATGAACACATTTTTCCATGCCGTGGGATCAACTTATGTACATTTATGTCGTAGAAGTATGCCGCCTGGGATTTGTACATCAGTGTTTGATCAGTGTCTGCCACCAGTGTTTCACAACCACCTATCAATTCCGCCACATTGTGAGGAAGGCTAGTCAAAACAAGAATTTATTGAGATGTAAGAAAAGATGCAAATCTCTTAGTGCGAGATCCGAATTGAAAGGTGGATGATCAAACATTTCCTGGAGGAACTACTGCCGAAGATCTGTTGGGAACCGAGCCGTACGTAGCCACGCATTATTGTGTACGAAGACACCTACGCTGACCATCTTGTTTCACGTGTTCTGAATGACCCTTTTTTTAAATTTTCTGCAGTGTTGAACTGTAACATAGGGTCTGCACTACGCATGTCATAGTGAAGCGGAATAGCAGATTGTGCCAAACACTGCTACCTATCCCCGGATGAAGATAACGTGTTGATTCATGGTATGACAAATATCTCAATATTGGTGGTCACTACGTAACAAATAGTGCAACATTTGCCATACCTGCTATAATAAAGTTTTTCCACGATAATGTGGTTTATTGTTGTTGGGAACCTACGGAAAATGTCTTTCTGGATTCGCCTTGTATTTTGAGCGTGACTTGGATGACTATACACCACGACTAAGACGTGTCAGTGGGACGAGAGAAATCGAACTGAGAATCTAAAGAGTTGAGTAATAAAATGATGTTACGTTAAGTTTCAATTGCTCTGACGTACATTCAGAACATCTTTTGGTCAAACTAGTACGTTGCAAGAATAATGTTATTCAACAATAGGTGTCCTCAACTCAGAAAATTTGGAGAAGTGATTCTGTTCAAAAATCTCCTATTTCTAACATTTCGGTATCAATAAGAGAAGCTGAGAAAAAAACTCCAATAATGATGCATGATAATGTGCATGATGAATGACCAGTTAAAAAGGAAACAAATTCATCACAAAGGGTTTTCAATATGTGGAGTCTCAAATACGCAAACCTAATCACATTACTCAAAAGACATTTTACATACGTCATTTGATATTCAAGCTTGCCTAAATGTAGTGTATTTAAATAAGAATCCCAAGCCTGAAACGGTCATTTATAAGAACAACTGATGTAGATATATACAGTGTGACCGGTGAGGGAACGTAACTTCGAAAATAAGCTCTTACGACAATTTTAATCATCTTTAGTTCAGTAAACTACTTGGATATTCCGAATAGCTGATCCGCAAATAAAAAAGCAGTCGAATTGCGTACATTGGGTGTTGGTTTTTTCTTTATTTCTGCGTTAATTGTTTTCTTTCTGAGCAAATTTATTCATTTCCTTTGTAAATAATAAAACAATTTACATGTTTCTGGAGTGTTTATATGTTTCAGCAATTCACATTTTTGCATACACATTATTTTTTCAAACCTACTTTTGAGTGCTTATTGCGGCTCAGCCATTCGGACTTAAGCCAAGCGAAGAAGTTTATTAGACAAAATATGCATAAGATTGTCTGAAGAGCGTAGTTTCGAAATTTAATTCGTTTCCACCCCGAACATCCTGCATTTACAAGTAAAATGATTGATATTGCCAGCATCATCACATCCTCATAATTCACCGCATCCGCCAACGTCTAAGATACCGCCTCCG